TTGTTACGGATCACTTTCGATGATGACTCGATACATTCTCATCTATTCTGTGAAATGTTATCGATAAAAATATAAGTCTGGGGAAATACCGAGAGCTCTTGAGACATTGCTGACGGTCTTTCAAATCCCACGAATAATAATTCCTAAGTGATCTCAGAACGATTATTACGTCAGTATGTTTGCAGAATATTGGACGCTCGTATGAGCATAAAGAATCACTTATCGCGTTACGTATTGTGTAGTACGGCTATTATAAAGAACGGATTCGAATGCTAATTCCAGCGATCCGCTATGGAATGTTCCTTTAATAACGTTCTAGCGCGCGACATTCCCACACCAGCCGTGTTTCGAATGATTTACCGTCGCCAACGCGACGACTCGCATTAATTACAAGGCTGCAATTAGCTCGGCAAGGCTTAATAAATGGATTAACATCGCACAGCCGATTGATGAACTCTCTCCGACAGTTTCTTCATCCGAATTGCCTGCGTAACGCGCACTCGAATTACATCCTTTCGTTGCCATAACAATATTATGATGTATCATGACATAACGACATAAATGCGTTATCCAGATTTTTCCCTCGCCGCAACCGTCGATCGTTAAATACGAAAGAAAATAAATAGTTCAGCGCATTGCTAGGGGAAACTTATCTTTAAGCATATCTTTCACGAGTAACTACCTGGGTGTTGCTGAATTTACAGATATGCGTCATCGTTTACACTTCGTACTATTCCGCGTCTTGGGATCGCTTTCCCCTCACGTAACACGCGATACTATATCCTACGGCAAAGCTTCAGCATCGACAATGTTGGAAAATAGAACCGAGAACGCGCGTGCAATAACTTGATAAATTCGGCGCGTCACAAAGGAGAACCGGAAAATACCTGCGAAATACCGGAAGGAAATCGCGTCAGCGGCCTACTTTATTGAATTTGTTTGAATTCCAAGCGAATTCGTAATTCTTGAACTTTGTCACGTCGTTGATTCGGCCGTTGTACATACCTCATCTCGAACCGGCGATTACATTATCGGGATCGTGCCTCGTGCTCGTCTCTCGCGTAACCCAAAGGAAAGTTTCTTAATTCAATTGGAATCGTGCAACGGCTATATATTACGGCTCATCATGGAAAAATTACGCAGCTTATCGTATCGACATGTGCTGCAACACCCGACGCACGTTGCAACGCGGCTCTCGATTCTTCGGCTCTGGATTCTTCTCGCCTGTTTGACACGGCCTTTCGACCTCGCATTACTAGAACTCTACTATTTTTTTTTTTTTTCTCTAATTCATTATTCAAATTCAAGATTAAAGTTGAAACGCGGACATAATGTCATTGTTAAAATATGACTCCCCTCTCTCTTTTGTGTGTGTGTGTGTGTGTGAATAAATTTAAAAATGATTCAGATAAACCGCATATACTGTATAGAGAGTCACGCGATATTTTTAAGGCGTTAAGATATATTATCCGCGGGTTAGTGTTAATGACTGCCTGAATGGAATGCTGTAAAATATACTTATATAATGTAAAACAAATTTACGACCGGACAAGCGAACTCATTCGAATCGCGATTAAATCGGTGTACGCTCTACAAATCACTGAAATGCCTGTCGACTTCCGCGATTTATCGTGTCATCAATAAAACGATACGAGAAACGCTCGTAATTCCATTCAATGTTGCAGCAATGTGACACGCTGGCACTGGCATTGCGCCGGTTATCGTTACCGGCACGATTTGCGCCTGTAATCATGGCACAGATCGGTCCGCCACCCATCGAGCCTGTGCGAACTGGGTTAAGGCGAATGAGAATCACTGCTGACCGGGTCAGATTTTTATCAGACATTAATACTAACTACACTAACTAACCGTCGTGGAATCGCGCGAGCTTTTCTGCGAGATAATCGCGCGCGAGGAAATGTCGTAACGGTACTTTTCCAGGCTGTTTCCATTCATTTCCCTCTATGGAGAAACGAAGATAAATCGTATTTACAATCGACGCCGCTGAGCCGCGTTTGTCAAACATCGAAATGATAATTAATGCTCTCAGCTTGATAACGGACAATTCATTTGCGAATCTTATAGATTAGGGTCCAAATAAAGATCCACTGTAAAGAAATTCCGCACTGAGACTCATTTATATGCGTCGTCTAGAACGCAATATCGCAAATAAACGCAGAGTAAAATGCGTCGCAATTCGCATGCAGCTACATTACAGAGTCATTTATTAGAATTGCATGTCACTTTCACTGTGGGAGCTCTCAACTTTCTTATTTATTAATCATGATTATACAATGTAACAGTGAATTATTAGATTCCTGTTATTCTAATTAGGCTAAAAAGCAGATTTATGTGTTTATATTACAGATGAACTCCAGAAGTCCTTGGTTATTAATTCTTTATAAGGATTTTTTTGAAATTATAAATCTCCGGAGATAATTGTCTTGATATTTACTTTGCTAATCGTGAAATCATTCTTTTTAAAATATTTTTTCTTTTCTAATTAATGTATTCGATTTGAATATACGGTGAAGTGAAATTACAAAGTGGTTTTCACGGATTGTATTGACGGTGTATTCTATTAAAAGACTGTCTGTAATAACAGAGCATCTACTATGCTCCATCGTGATTCGCAGCCGTCTAATTTCGCTTACTATCGGGTAGTATTATACCTGCCAGTCACTTTCGGTCATGCTCGGTACATTGGAAATTTTTTGAGACTCCCTGACGTCAATCGGCTAAAGGCGGAGGAATTTAAAATGAGACCCGTGCTTTCTTACGGCTATAATTATCGGCCGATCTCTGCTTACTGTTGTCAATAAGCAGATTCGCGAGATATTTGCTTTTACTCCATTTTGCATGTCTTGCACGAGGCAAAATAAAACAAGAAAAGAAAGAAAGTCGTGTTCTCTAAATCGACGACTACGAAAACCGACAAGTTTATTGTTATTATTAACGGATGCACGAAAAGATTACAGTGCCGATGATGACATCAACTAGTTACAAACGAGCACCATGTAAAGCACTGTGAATCATCCTGCACCGTAAATACAACTCTGATGCGCGTTGTAAAGTCATTAAACCTCATTTGACTTGTAGAAAATGCTGTACTCCGCGTATTCGCATGCGGATCGATATCTAAAAGTCGATATACATATTCTATGCAAGTATATGCAAGAAAGCCCGGGAGCAAATTAATCATTTTCAGTAGAAATTATAATAAATACAATAACAAGGAAATTGACAGTCATAAATTCACGGCCGCGATAATATCGTTGGAAGTAATAAATTTATAACAAAGTAACTTGATTAGCATTTTTTTTTAAATCATGACAATATCGAAGAAGTGTAACGCTCGATTGTTGCACAATTCTTTAAATGTCAATATTAACATTCTAAACATACAAATTTTAAGTAAAAAAATAACGAGTTTTTAAACGACAAAATATCTCCCACGAGCTTTTAAGATTTCTCAATGATTTATGCGTATAAAAACATTTTTAAAAAACTCATTCGATCCTGCCGTAAATTTTCGATCGCGCTACATAGTCGAAGCATAGTGTAGACTCGTGCGGCTATAACTCCGTACCAAAATAAACCGCGAAAATTCCGCGGAGCAGAACCTGACTTCGAAAGCGGTGAGTGCGGCCACTACGAGGCAAAGGTCGCCGCGCGACTACGATCTCACGAATGAAATATATTACGTAAGTTAGCATAAATTCAAGCTTTCTAAACGCGCGCCAACGCGCTGCGTCGTCTCCAGGATAAGATCTTGATCCCATTCACAACGATCTCTAAGTCGTAACGGTGCTGAATAATTTTAACGTTCAAAATATCAGTGCATAGAAAAAAAGTTCACGTTTTTAGATCGTTTCTTTACGTAAAATTTGATCATAACCGATGATTTTCGATTTTGAACGCACGTGTCGAATGTATGTTATTTCGAAATAGGTTTGTTTAATGTAGATTGTCCAAAATGATGTTAAAACGATATGGTTCGATGCAACGGTACCTGGTCAACTAACAAAACCTTTTATTTTCACGTCGAAAAAAAAAGTGACTATGGAGAAACGTCGATCGGTTGCGCTTGTTTAAATGTTAAATTCTTAACAGGTTATATAAAAAAAAAGTATATGTAGAAATGAAGCGTAGATAAAAATTATAAATTATAACGCGACCTAATATCAACTAAATATATATCAACGAAATTATTATGCGCTATCTGCCATAAATATTAATTACAAGTTATATAATGTGCGAGAAATAAATAAATCGTAATAAATGATGATGCATATTTTAATCCTTTGCATCTAAAGACATTTTGTTAACATTTTATCATCAATAGTATACTTCGTTAAATCATTAATTATCGTATGCATTAAGTAGCTAAATTTTACAAAGTAGATTAAAATATAAAAACATGATTATATATGTAAAAATTATCTATTTTATGTTAATATATTCCGATATCTTCTATCTTCATAAAATTAAAATTTCAAAAAGCACTTGTTTAAAATGGCCGATGTGTGTGTGTGGCCTATATATTAAAAATATTTTTTTTAATGTAAAATAATTCAGTATTACAATGAAACTTCTTTCTATCGGTGACTTTTATGGAACACAGTATTGCTCGCTAGGAAGTTTTGCTAGCGAGATATAACATAAGACACAATGACATTGCGGTTTGCATTTACATAGCGTGGATGAGAAAATAACCTTTTGGATAACGAGAAAGTAATGGTATGATATGCAACGTCTAACCGTATTCCCGAAATTTTTTTGCAGTAAATATACATATATTTCCATCACTATAAAAAAATATTACCAGAAATATTAAATTACTACTAATCTACGATAAAATTCACGATAGCAACCCATGCAACACATAACAATGAGTACTGATTCATGCAAATTATCCTACCTTGGAAAAGCCGGCGGGTCATTTTACCGAGTGCAAAGGATTAAAAATGAATCACCAGTGGCATACAATAAATACTCACCGTAAAAATATCTCTGGTTCGGCGGGACGCACAGCCTCCTGCTTTGATCTTCGACTCCTCTTAGCGATCAGCAGGTAAGTTCAAGCCGGATTCGTGGCACGCTCGCTCGCTCGGCGTGGCTGCGGGGAGTCACCACGGCTGGCCGTTGCCCCGAATGTCAAACGGCGTGAACAATGGCTCGTGACTGCAGGCCGCATGTTCAGGTACGCGTGTGCTTCAGAGACGTGAGAGCCGTTTCTCGAGAATGCGTGTAAAAGTGTAAAGTTGCTTACGTATCGCCTGTGTCTCTCCACACTGCAACGACGCTGCAACAAACGCGTTTTTCCTTTACAGAAACGTATATCCCTTCGTTCGTATCACGCGACGCACCGTAGCGGACTGAAGTGAATGCTTCATCCGCCGTGCCGCCTAACCAAACCGCGGCTGCGGCCGAACGCGCCCGATCGCTGCACGACCGGCCGACGAGACTGGCCGAAACATGACGCGGGAGATCGTCTCTCTCCCTTTCTTTCTTTGTCACGAGTTTCTTGCTCTTTTTCTTTATATCTCTTTCTCTGTCTTTCCCTCGTATGGGATGCCTGTCACACCTAGCAACGGAATCAGTGGAAATCTTCCAATGGGCAGGAGTTTCAATGATAGCTCTTTTGCCCTTTAAAAAGCGTATCGGATAGGCGTAAAAGGTCACATACATCATACAAAAAAAAACACATAAATTACGTGTCACTGTCTGTCCCAAAAATCTCAAAAATCCCAAAAATTTTTTTTGTGATAAGATAATGTAGTTTAAAGGAGGTAAAAAGGACGCGTTTCGACGACTGCTTTGTTAGCGAATGGTTTCCGCCAGAATTAAGTGTTCTAATTGTATTTTCTCACGCGTAAAAAATGTCCCGTTTTACGTGCGAATGGCGCGTGATTGCGGTTTATTTACTCTTCGGTATGTACAATAATCACATCTATTTACCTTTGTGGAATCTCGCGATGACGTATCCTGCCGTCTGTGCAAATCGCAATTTGTACGACGATACAAATTGCTGGTCACATGAGCCAACTATAGCGCGGTATGTTAGCCGCAAAAGTTTAATGAGCACCGCAAACATGTCGCGCGTAGGCAATTTACGCGCGTGCAAAAAGCGATTTATAGATGAGCATGTGATGTCAAATGAATTCATAAAATGACAATTTATACGCTCCATTATACCTGAACGTTTGCTAATTTAGGAATCGACCAGCTTAAACTGGTTAAAAACATATTCGACCATCAGATGTGCAACCGCAAATTTCAACCTCTGACCGTGACATGTCGTAAAAATTCGCATAAATAATAAAATTCAGCGAAGAACTTCTATTGTGTTGTAGAGCATACACGTTTATTCATTGTATTCATGAACTTTGCACCTATTGAACTATGGTAAAAAAAATAGGTTAATACTTTGCGTAACATTTACGAAGCGTTTCGTCAACTTCTGTTTCTTCACTCTCGGTTTTTCATTCTATTCAATTCCTGCCTACATTTAGCTTGTGACAGAGCAAGCATCTACGTCAATAAATACGCTCCGTGGGGTGTCGGACAACCGCCGTCGATTGCAGAACGAGCGATATTTGAAATATCAATCCGGCACGTGTACTGATTATTCAGACAATTTGTCTCGACTCCTTCTTTCCTGCACGTGCCACGTATATTCCGAGACAAGGTCCTTAGAATTACGCGCTGCATAATCATAGATCAATATTTGCATCCGCTCTTTTGCAAGCACAAGGTTGACGAAGGGTGGCGAGATAGATAAGCGTTCACATTAAAGCAGCGAGCGCGAGAAAACGATGGACATGTTTTATAAAAATATAGGCAAATATAATCATCATTAGAAAGAATATATAATTTTCGTGATACGAAACAATTTCTTTGAAAAGTTATACTGTAAAAAGTAATTTGGCACTAACTTGCACAGTTTCGCTTATAGTAATCTCTTTAAAATTAAAAAATTTTTTATTTTCGTAAGAACATTGTCACTGACGACAGTGTATCATTTCTCTCGAAATCGTTGCCTTCAGCAAAATTTCACAAACAACGCTCAATTAATTTGTCTTTACGAATATCAACACGTTCTATTCGGACAAATACGGACCAGCCGTGTGTGTGAAATATTTGCGTTTGCTGGAAACGCGCGGGTTCACCTCGCTGACGAGGTGAAAGTGTCCGAGTTTCATTGCGATAGGCAGAGAGTCGCGTGTCCTGCGATTCCGAGATCGCGTTAGACGAGCACGCGATCTCGATCGCGAGGAAGGAAATCGTTCGTGTCGCGGCGAAATGGCATTCATCGAAATGAAGCGGATTCGCCGTGGTCATAAAAAATATCCTGGGGATGGAAAATTAATTGGCCGATAGCGCGACATGGCGTTTATTTCGGATATAAAGTAAATTCAAATATAATCGCTCATCATACGAGTGGAGTCGTTTAATAAGACAGATTACGCGCAGTGCATTGACCATGTCAATTTTACTTCTCATTGTGTTATATCGTCCCACTTTTCCGTTTATAGCGTACTCGCCGAATCTTGTTATTTTAACACAACACAAAAATGTATAGTGAATGTTTCTTTCATGCCTAATAGAAAAGATCTGAACTTAGTAGGAATGAGAAAAGTCTAAAAGCATCTTAATAATCACATCTATCATATAATAAAAAATTTTTGCTTTTAAGTTTTATAAATTTGTCTAAACTTTTTATTAGCTTAATAAATAAATTCTTAATGTGATAAAAATGACCGTACTATTTCTTCAGTTACATTAAATTACAAAGTTATTTTTAATGGCTAGATGTCTTTCTTAATAGGCATCAAGTAATTATAAAATTCATCGAAATTCCTAATAAGTGACTTAAGACGTTAATTTCTCGGTTACCCCTGTATTATTGTAAATTAATAAAAATCTTGTTAGCGTGACGTTGATCATCAAGATGGTATTTAGAAAGCGCCAAAGAAATAATTTATAACGCACATAACTTTCGCGATAATCATTGAATTAATATGTATATAATGACGACTATTAAAATTTTCGGATCAAGTAACTGTTTAATCGAATCTGATAAAGGCTTTCGTCTCAAATGCGATTAATGTTTAAGAAACAAATTTTATTACATTTTTCGTCCCTAATCCGACAAACGAATATTTAATAAACGGCGGCGAATGATAATAACATATACTGTTCATAATAACAACGTTATATTATTCGCTAGAATAATTTAATATTGTGAAATCGACAGATTTCAATCTCGTATCACACGCTTTTGTCATCAATCATCGATATCGCCTTTCTCTTGAACATCCTCTTGATTTAACTTTGATGATTTTTTTTCGTTTGACATCGACGTTCTACTTTTCAAATTTTCCTTCTGAGCTTCTTCATTGGCTTCTTTTGCAATCTGTAAATCTGTTCTTGTTACTTGCGATATTTCTGACTTTCAATTTCTTTCAGACTGTTGAGAGGTTTCTTCAGCAAATATTCTACCTTCTTGAACTTTTCGACTTTGGAATGAGGATGTTTGGAGGCCAACAGGTTGTACAGCTTTTTGGTCGCGATCCGCGATTGACGTCGCGGCATTTTCGATCTGAAAACGTCGGTCGCAGTAACGACGCTGATCGCCCGCATCTTTGCAAGCCGCTTCATTTGGCGCTGATGACGGGGATCCCGGATTTCGCACATGCCGCGTTTTCGAATGAACTCAATTGTCAAATCATTTGTCGGCGAGCTGGTATTTGACGTTGAGCAATCGTTCGGATTACACGGCGCGTTCTCTTCGTCTGAAGGACACAGTGTCATGCACTCGACGCTTTTCTCTTCCTTAGAAATACATTCGCAACTTCTGTCGATTTCAGTTTTGCATCCTGAAGACGTTTCTGAAGATTTCCTCGTTGCAATTCTTCATTACAGAGTCGCAATCTATCTCACAGGACTTTTCTGATTTCTCGATGCTTTCGCTTTTGGATCTACATTCTTTTGAACAGAATGACTTGCAGTCATCACCTGTATCGCATTTCATATTAATTTTATAAATTTGTTTATGTATATATATATATATAACTATGTTATAAAATGTATTTTTTTACAAGATCTATTTATTGCAATATATTAATGATAAATAAATGAAGAGATATTTTTAAAGCAAAGCTTAATCGTTAAAGATTAACATCAAAAACAATAAATTAGAAAATAATTTTTTTTCTTACATTAACGATAACATTTACGACGAGCATTTATATTATATTATTATTACAAGCTACGTAAAATGCAATACAATACTATTTTACCTTTTGTGACTGGCGTTTCGCTTAATTCCGTCGTTACCACTGTTGTTTCAATAGGATTATTCTCAAGGGTTGAGGATGATACAGAAGACGTTGCCCGAATAGTTTCGAGAGTAATAAAAGGCTGCGTCGTCGACATTGTTTTCAAAGATATAATAGTACTTGTTTCAATAGGTTCAGTAGTTTCTTTTGAATTTTGCTCGGTGGCGTATTTGTTAAACTCGCAGGAAGTCGTAGTAGATGTAATTGTATCGTTAATTTTGTCTTTCGATATAGATATGCTTGTCATGACTGTCGAGCTGTTTGGTTCCTCCGTAATTGATACGTCTTTTGTGGTTGCAGGTGATGTCGTAGTCGTTATAGGCGACATTGTAGTGGGTGTTGTAGGCGATGCTGCAGCAATCGTCGTGAATGATACTGTAGTAGTTGTAGTAGGCAAAATCGTAGTAGTCGTTGTAGATGATGTTATGGTTGCAGATAATGTAGTTGTAGGTGATATTGTGATTGTTGTAGGCGATGATGTAGCAGTCGTCATGGATACTGCAGTAGTTGTTGTTGGTAATGTTGTGGTCATTGCTGCAGTAGTTGTTCCAGACGATGCAGTAGTTGTCGCGGCTGCAGTACTTGTAGCTGTGATTGTTTCTTCTTAAGAAACCGTTCTATCTATCGTCATCGTCAAAATAGGATCAGTCGTCTTCGAAATAGTTGTTGGTGATGTTGTGGCAATCGTAGCAATGCTCGTGAACGCCGAACTGTTTTCCAAGGGCGTGTCAGACCTTCCTGAAACTTCTTCCGCAGATTCGCTTTCGAAACTGTCCATCATTGTTTTGCTTTGATCGCAGGCTTCAGTCGTGCTGTGTCGAGTCGTAGCTTTGCTGATCGTCGGTTCAGTCGTTGTTTTTTCGGCCCTATATAGTCCTTTTCCTCCCTGTTTTTTCTTCCTTCAACAGTTTTGAGAACTCGACGGGAATATGAACCGTTGATTTTTTCATGTGGACTATGCACATGATGCTCGTCTCGAGAAAGGTTTTAATAAGCTTTTTGATCTCAGGATTTAGGAATGTACACTGTAAAATCGATTGCAGACCAATTCGTAAACAAGCCCTGGGAGCAGAGGATCTCGACCGTCATGTTCTTCTTGTCCCACAGATTCTCCTTGATTCTGTCGATATTTTGCGTCACGTTCCGGTAATGCGGTAATTGTCACAAATTTTTATACGCGTCAAACAGCTCCAATAGTTCGCCGAGATTCTCGATCATGATACTCCGACGCCAGAATTTCGCATGCATCCGCAGAGACGTCGCAATGTCCTTGGCGAAGCCGATATCCTTCAGCTGACCGGTGATCTCTATCATCAGCTGGCCGGGTGTGGCCTGCTGAAACCTCTGTACCTTGAGATATTTTTCAATCACGTCAAACTCGTCCAATTTTCTCACTAGATATTTTTTAGCTTCAATAACATCGTTATCGAGCATGTCATCGTTATCGGGCAACATGAGATCAAACAGGTACTCAACGTGAATTATCTGGTTCTCGTAGACGTTATCGAGCAGGTGGATATTCTCGTTGATTGTACCGACATCATCGACAATGCGTTTTGCGATTAGCAATGAGTACTTCTTCAGGTCATAGTTCGAAAATCTCTCTGCTTGAATGTTGATGTAATATCTGAGGAACGAATTTACGGTGTGCAATTTTTCCAGCTCCCGCGTCAGCAACGGCTTCAGAATTCCTGTATTAAAACTCTTCCTGGCGGTCAGCTCGCGAAAATATCGTATGAGTTTCTTCTCGGCAAGGCGCACGTCATCGTCAAAATTGTCATACCTCACGTTGTAAAGAAGTCCCGATAACAGAGCGGGCGTGATCGTCAGTACTTCTCTCTGCAGAAGCTTTAGCATTGTTGTCAGAGAAAATCCTCTGGGATATTGTTTCGATATTTTGGAGAAACGATACGCCACATGCGTGACGTTGAAGGTGGGCGTATCGAGATACGCCTCGGAATACGGTAGATCGTACTGTTTCCTAATCTTCCGACGCACGTTTGCGGTACTTCTGAGGCAAGATTCCGTGTGGGCATAAATTCCAGCACAGATTTTCGACGGTCTTGTATTCTCCGCATTCTTGAGAATGCCGGGGACCAGATCGAATACATCGTACCGTCGCTCAAAGATTTCTTCATACACCTTGTGTAACGCTCCACTTCCGCTACGCTAAAGTCATCGTAATAAATGTACAGGAGACTGCCAAAGTTGTCAAGAATCCGCGCTCGCAGGAGCGCACTGAAATGCAACAAGTACTCCGTGTCTTTTTGCAAGGTGTTTTCTTTCGATGCGACGAAGTTCCATTCCTCGAGAAAATCACAGCTTGTGAAGATTACGCTGCTCTTTAGGGTCGTAGATATCACGTCGTTCCTGTAGATGTCATAGTCGATCGCCTAAAGAAATTGTTGAGAAATAAATTTCTACCCTGAAAATTAAGGACTGTCCTCTAAGGGAAGCAAAACCTTCTTTATGCGTAGACATATTTTTTATAGCTGAATAAATAATAATTTTAATAATTATTATACTGAACAATGTGTATTTTAACTTATTTTGACAGTAAAGCTATGCATGTTATACAAGTACATGAACAAATAAGGGCATAATATTTACTTAAAAGAAAAATTTGCACGATAAAGCGCTGAGAGTTCGTTTAAGATTAAAATACAATAATATGGTCAGTGTATGATTTAACCGTATTAATTGATTGTGCAAAAACTATATTGCTAGTAATGTTATCGGTTAATTTTCTAAATTCTATGACCACCCGTGATTTCTTTTATTTTTTTCCGTTCTATTATTGCGGGGATCACGGAGAATTTAATGACCCATATCAAGCATCGTTCTCGTTGTTCACCGATTCGATAACACGTCGGCAATATTGGGATGACGGCACGTATGCTAGTAATACTACTACTCACAGAACTGATACCGTGATGTCTTTAATTTGACAAACAATAATGCTATAAATCTTGAAAAATATAAACGCAATATTTCAGTTATACTCATAAAATTATAGCTATACACTACTATTAAAAATTGCAAAAATGTTTATAGTATTTTAAACGAATTTAAACTATTCTGAATATTAGTAAAATACACAACGACGTCCATAAGAATACAAGAATGTTAATATATTGAAAATCTTTGGCCATTTTCTTTCATTTGTTTGCTAACTAATTGTAATATAAAACAATGTTTTTATTGCCCTTAAAATTATAATTTTTTATTTACAAAAATACTTAGAGATTTTATGAAATTACCTGCCATTCTACTTCTATTCTCTTTTCTTATTGACTTTTTCTCATTTTTAGAATATCGGAACATTTCTATCTCACCTGCGCGAATGACATTAGTAGCATGATTGAAATGCATTCAATCCCCCGCATTACGATTCGTGATGATATTGTCAATGCCATAATTCACGCAAATCACTCGCGAGATGCAGTTCGCTTCGACAACAATGCAAACCGATCAAGTTGTCGCGTAGCTTATATAAGGTGCATATGTACGTCTTTACGACGTACACGTGGGTGAGTTAGTGTGCGTGGACTACACCGGGTATATCAATGAGATTGAAATTAATTATGAGCACGGCTGCACACGATATGATGCACCGTTCTGAAAACCACTCATCTCACAGTTTGATGCTTTTTTTTATAACCGATTATTGATAAATTTTATTACTGCCCATAAATTTTTAATGTTTGTAAATAATCTAATAAAATTTATCATTACCAATTGCAATTACAAAAACCTTTCAATTTATTACGTAAAGAGTTTTTGTAAAAATACTCTTAATATTTTATATTATCTTATAATTTTATTTTTTATTTATAATATTCTATTTCTTAAGAGTATCTTTGCATCCAAAAGCAGATTGATTCGTTATACGCAGTATTCTGAAGATCAATATATGACTAAAATTAACTTTGATCACCAAATTATCCCAATAGGTGGGAAAGTAGCATAGCTTACAATCGTGAGCTTTGCAAGCTTCATATTCTGATAAGCGGGTATTTTCTCCACCTCGACAGTCGGTCGAGCTTGCGCAGTTTCTATCCCAATATGGATTCCCCGAGTCATGCATGTCCCTCGCTAAGGGTGAAACGATTTTAACTGAATTTCGCGTCCGGGAGTATTCGCGAACAATCGCTCGCTCCGATCGTTTCCAGTTTGCGGCTCGGTATAGGCCATCATCATATAGCTAGAACTCGGTATAATGTCTGAAGACTATCAGCACGCTTGCGAGAGGGCAGAATTACTAGGCTTGCCGAAGCCAAGTGAGGAGGAGTGGAGACAGACGCTGGCGGCGCAGAGTGAAAATCGTTGCGACGATGACGACGACGGGGGTGCATTACAGGTAATTACGCTGTGCTTTTACATAAGGCAAATTGTGAAATACGCACGAGTTTCAGAAATTTGTTTTCGACATATCTAAAAATAATGTCTTGTATTTTTTATAATTCAGCAATTCGTTAGCTATCCTATTTCTCATATTAATTACAAAGTAGCTACAATTTAACTAAAAGCGACGTAACACGAGTTACTTTGCGTGTGTGGTATAACATTTTTTCATTCATTCTCGCGGATGACTAACGCACTTCTGACAGTATCATATTCATGATAAATGTTACATAGCGGAATCGGGTTACGCGTCTACATGCGAGTCAAATCGTCGAGAATAAATCGCTGACGTCGAATTGTGAGTTCATTAGCGCCGACGTCCACGTGTGTGTCTGTATAATTTTTCACGGCGATTTTTATCTCAGGACTTGGATCACGCGGACGAGACGGCCGGACGCGTCGGTGGCGGGTTGGATGAGCTGAACAGCATTTTGAGCACCACGCAGAAGAAGATCAACAGATTCAAGGTGACTTAGGATAATTAATTGCCGTACAGCGAGTACGCGCGCGCTTATTTCATATGTTGCACGAATTAATTATTTTTGTCATAAAGGTCGCGCGAAATTTTTACGACCGATATGACGAAATATTTTATATCCCTATCCGTTCGCAAACTGATAACGCTTTCTTTCTCGTTGCTCATTAGCTTTATCAGCCGGTTAAACAAATTATTTCACACAAGGATCGCAGCAGTGGATTTTCTCACTTACCTTGAAATAAGAGCCTTATATGAAATAACAAATTTTGCAGACAGTTTGCGGCAGTCTAGGAACGTTGCTCAAAGGGAAGGTAAGCTCCCGCGGTAGCACGCCGCAACACAAGTCCGACGAACCAAATCCTTGCAAACAAGAAGAAATAGAATCCGCGCCCGACGAAGTGGTGACGCTGGAGACATCGGCCGAGGCATCAGGTGACACCGCCGCGGATGCTACGAATAATCCTGCGAGCGATGGTATCCAGCCGAAGCAGCTCGACCTCAGTCAGAAAATGGGATCCCACTTGGACAAGCTGGACTCCCTGATCTCGAAGGCTGAAAATGCACAATACAGTATGCAACATCAGACAAAACAAATGCGGAAGTTCCTGAAGTAATTGGAACCTCCAAAATATTGCATGCGATTTACAGTTAACGAAATAGATTACTAATCAATAAACGAAGATTTAACTTTGCGCAAGATTGGTTGTTAACTAAATTAATTCATATCTTCCATTATGAATGTAGAAAATTCGTATAAGAAATATTTTTCAAATATGTTACGTATGTACGCAAATTTATGGAGAAGTTCCGAAGAATTTCTTGACATTAACAATAAATTTTTCGCCGATAAATGTAAGGAAAGATATCTGTAACAATTTAAGAGAGCACAATAAGTAGTTTTGCAAGCGGCCAGCGCATATAAGAAATTCGCGTATAAGAATTCAGATTTAAATTATTATTGTTACATTGCGTATATAAAGTTTGTTGCATCAAATATTGATATTTTTCTCGTGATGTATTTTTGTCGATTGTCGCGAAGCGGATTTCGCAAATAATTGTTATTGATTCTTTTATATTCGCGCGACGTTATCTTTGTCGTTGAAAGCTGTTACATGTGTTATGAAATGTATATATCGATATACATATATATATATATATATATATACATATTATATACGGATATTGTTGACGAATTTAATATTGTTACATAGATACGAGTGTATTTCCGGTAATTGAACCTTTGTGCTTGGATCCTTGACAATATCGACATATCATACGTAAAAACATGTTGGCACACGTTGGCGAAACGAGTTAGTGATAAACTTTCCTACTCAGCAAATGATGTGATATTATTTTACATCGACCTAGAGATTGTTAACCTACGATCCGTATATATTTTATCATCGAACAGTTTGCGCTCTATTTTTCTAGGTCTAAGTTCTAATTGTGTAATAATATAGCAAACGGATATATATTTTATTATCGAATAGTTTGCTCTATTCCACCTGTATTTAAGTTTAACGACGTTACACGATAATATATACTTCTAGCGATAGAGGCTATCTATAAGTCAATATACATTCGCCGTTTGTTGTTGCATTACAATTCAAAGCAGTAAATTGTATTAAGTGCCTTGCTTTCAATTGTGTCTTTATATAAGATGCGATTATTCGCGATTCGAAGATGTTTGTAACCCGATTTGCATAAGAGTATCTTTTTCGTCTTCCTGTTTTTCGATGGAACAAGTATTTTCTTTTACAAAGGTATTTTCATAATGGTAATTAATATCAAATTGAACGTTTGCTTTATATTTTTAGAAATAGGCAGCAGAAATGCATGACGATGCAATTGTCATGCCTTATGCAATATTATTTATTATGCAATAGCAATTAAATTCTACGATGTATTACTTACAAATAACATTCATCAATAGAAGGTTAAGTTTTGTTTTCTATGTTGCACATCTAAACTCTCTTTCACTCTATCTATACATACTGCAGAAATATAAATAATACTGTTTCTTATAACAACGACATTGTTTCCTATCGTGTAGATATTTTAAACTATCTTCGATTTTAAGCAATACATTCCGTCGTGAATGTAACACGGAACGGAATTATTAACGACATGGTTACTGTTCACGATGTACGCAATCTATTCTCGAAGACATCGCTGCTGTAACGATATTTTGTAATTAAATCCTTAATGCTATCATAAAAAAATAAGCTTTACCTTAATATTTGAAACTGCATGCTAAAATGTTGTAGGAAAAATTGTTGAATTAAATTTTTATCATGAGTTTTGTCTTGAATTCTTTTCCAGAATAGGACCGCAACCGCCATTTAAACTATTATATCTTCGAATATATAAAGTATAAACATATGCTTCATGAAATTTATTTCACATTTCGGCTGTTCAAGTAAGTTTAACAGCTGGCGATAGATGGCGCATGCTGTTTGTCAACTGCCTTCACTCACGTATGCATCATACACAGTCATGCATCATGTACCTTGGTATGGTTACGATAGACGATAACCTTATCTTTATTTCACTTGGATAATCGCTAATGGAATTTAAATGCTGGAACTATTTATAAAGCTCAATTTTACATCAATTTTGAAAATTAAAAATTTCTACTCGATTATAAAACTCTAGATGGATAATTATCGATAAATTTTAGTGTCATGAGGAGTGTGCCGATTCAACGTGCAGTGCCGCAAAATGTTATGTCATTTCATATATCAAAACGAGAGATGGACGAATGCAAGCGATTAATTGTTTATAAAGGCAATGCGATTTTCGATGATGTTATTGTCAAGTTACAAAATGTACTTAGGTATGATGAGATTAGTAGAAGTGAATTCAAAGCATTTGCAGGGGATAATGTTGAAAATAAATGTAACATAGTAAAACCAATTAATCTGAATACAAGAGGTCTCAATTCCTATTTCGTCTCGGCTTACATTGCAACGCTGTCAAAATCATACGTTTATCGTAAGAGTGCTATGAGCATACTGAGAAAATTTCAGGGAACAAGCAATAGACCACTTGACAGCGAACATGTACAGATAATATTTATAAGATTGAAAACTCCAAGAAAGCAATTTTTGGATTATAAATGGCAAGTTTCACACATCTTACAACGTAGTTCAAATTGTACGTTACGGTTTTACATTTATACTTTCTTAGGAGCGAAAGATTAATGCAAATGGTTCTAGAAAGACAAGAAGCTGATCATGCCATGTCTTGGTTATCCACGCTGGGAGGAGCGTTTTCTGCATTGGGAGAAGAATTTGAACACTGTGTAAGTTACAGCGGATTGCTTTTCTCTTAAATTTTGTACATGTTAATTAATCTATGGCATATCTCATACAGGCTAAAATGGCAGGCAAAATTTCAGTGAGGCAATTTGAATTAGCATTGCGTCTTGACAATCCTCTCCTTGTTGCCCGTTGTAGACTTTACTCTGCATTAAGCTTAATTCAACGTGGTTGTTTTACCACTCCACAGCACATGATAAGGAGAATCTACAAATTTGCACTCAGAGAGAAAGATGTGCGTCTGCAAAACATGTGTCAGGGTGTATGGGCCAAATTGCAACATAGTTACAAGCAATACAAGCAGCAAAAGTCTGTATCATTCAGAACTTTGCGTATATCTTCAAATGCATAGAAAATTTAAACTTTGTATGTTTTGTAAGTATGTTGATAATATAGATATTTTCTAAGCACATGGTTTACCAAAATTTATTTAACATTATCATATTAAATAAAATAAACCTGAGATTCATTTGAAGTAAAAAACAATAGGCAGTAATAAATTCAAAATAGCTTATTTTGAGCAAAAAAATTTTAATTATATTGGCAAGTTTTTATTAAATTTAACATATATAATTTATATACATTGCTCTATTGCTTTTTCTTGTATAATGTATGCACATACAAGTTTCAAAATTAATACACACAAAGATATAAGTGCCTCTTACTACTTACTATGTCATACATTGTACTTAAAATAAAAATTTGTTAAACTGTAGATATGTAATATGATGGAAAATTGTTTGCACAATCTATATTTATTTTTGGTTATACGATAAAAAACATGGTGTTGTAGTTTATCGCATTAAAAGCGACGTGTTAAAACGACCACTATTTAGTTACTTATAATATAAATTGCATTTCAGGAATTGATACCTTACTGCCTATTAAAATAAAATATGCAACATAGCACTATTTTCCTCTTTTCACAAACGTTGCACAATCGGAAACTGCGATTTCACATACGTATATGTAAACGATAACCAAGGCTGGACAAAATGTATTTCAAATACAATAAAATATTTGAAATACAAAATGTACAATGCTAACACAATCTTGGTATTTAAATTATAAAATACAAAATACTTTTAATTTTCGATTTAAAATACAAAAATTTTGTATTTGAAATAAAAAAATTGAAGATATTTTGCAATAAATACTAAAATTGTTATTATTTTGCATTTTGTATATCAAATGTGTTTGCCCAGCCCTGACGATAATATTGCGTGATTTCAAATATGGTAACTTGTGCATTCAGTCTTGATATAGTGGAACTAAATGTTGCCCTCATATACCATAATAAACAAGATAAAATTGCAATTTATATGAAATGTAATTTCAATACTGCTGTTTTTTTTTTTGCTTTTTTTGTAAGATATAAAATATTGTACATATTTTGTACATATTCATCACTGCCCCCGGAATTTTTATTAAATATTTCAGTTCTCTTATTATGTTGCAAATCTTTGTAGTGTAAAACTGCTTGCCATTATATAAGTTAAGTCTACTTTAACATCAATGAGCAAGTGTGCCCATAGGATCCCAAGCCGGTAAAACAATGGGTTCTTGATTGAATACAGCTATCACGTCCGCAGGCACGTACTTTTTGTCTACGACTGCTTCGAAAACGAAGTCAGCAAACCATTCAGTAGTTACAACTTGGTAACCTTTTTGTCCATGATCTTCACCCCATGAGTTCTCTATCCGGAATTTTTTTATCTTACCATCTCGCTGAAATGGAACAATATTGATATGTTAAATAAAGCATCAAATTTAACAGAAATTATTTCAATTACTTGCAAAAGTACTTACGTCTATTGAGACAGCTGTTAATGCCATCGCGTGCACCATCATAGAATCTCCATAGAGTAGTCTATCAGCCTTGGAAAGTCCAACGTGAATATCGGTACCAAACATTAGCTCGAAGTTGTATGCTTTTATATCATGAATGCCGTGTTTATCTATCAATCTTTTGTTGACATCGCAGCCGAACCAAACAGGTTCATTGTTCTTAATGCTCTCGGCACAAAGTTTCATCAACAATTCTACCGGCTGATTATTGTAACGAGTAGTCTTGCCACCTACAACGTTACCCAGACAATCAACAGTATATAGCTTTCCATAAGGATTAGCCGGCCGTGGATCAGTCACCAAACATATCTTGTCATTCACATTGTAGTGTGGTTTAACATAATTTTCATAAAATTCCAATGGTGTAATGGGTCCCACACAATTGTAATTCTTCGACTTGTCGTAGTATTCCCACGTAATTTTTTCAGAGGGTATACCTAGGCAAATACCGATTATTCTATAAATCACTACCATTTGCTCGCCTATCCGTGCTTTCAGCTCCTCATCAGAGGCATTGTTGTCAATCATGTCCCGAAGGACTTTTGCATATTCTCGCAACTTGCTCTTCAGCAGACTATTCATGCGAGCGCTAGACTCGCAATTGTACGACTCCGGAAAACATACTTTTGGTACAACACCATGTCTAGTTATAAGATTCACAATCATATCCCATTGGCCACCATCACAAGTGGGATCGTTTAATAAAAAGTTAACTAAACGTCCCTCAACTGGTTCATCGCGTTTTGCAGTATTCACAATATTATGCAAAAAATAATTGCAACGTTCTACCTGTAATAAAAATACAATGATGGATATACAATTAAAATATAATGTATTGGAATGCATAATAATACAGTAAGACATCTTGAACAATGACATACCTTGTCCCAAAAGAACAAATAAGCTTGGCTAAATTCAAACTCATCCAAATTATATTGTTTCATGAAGCCAGTTCTCATGACATTTAGAATAGCAAACAGCCAGCATCTTCCAGAGTTTTTCTGATTAGTCACGGGCTTGCCTTCAGTCTCAATTTTGTGGGTAAACACATGAGAAGATTCTTCTAAAATCTTTCTAGAAGCACAAGCTTCAATTGGATTCGCCTTTGTACAGATATTTTGCGCCAATACATTGCGGTCATCAGAAAAAAACTTTCCACGCAGCTGAGTGAGGAATTCGGGAGTTAAAGGACCTGTTCAAAAAGAGAAAAAAATATTTAGTTAAAATTCCACACAGTCCGCTTTATCTTCTATAATCACAATGTCAACCGTTTTCTAATGACGAACAAAGGACGCACTATCGTCTTTATCGCACTCTTGACGATATACAAATTTTTATTTACAGAAAGATATTGCGAATATTTGCACGATTCAGTAATGATGAGAGAATTGAAATTATTAATAACTGTACAGGGTGTGGCTTGTCTCAAAGCAAAAAATCGAGCATGTTCAAAAAGGTTAAGAGTGGTCAGTTACATTTTCCCATACGAGCTCTCGCGTCTAAATCAAATTTTTTATGTAGATAAGCATTTTGTAGCACAAAAGATTTTTGACGTATTTAATATGTAAGATATGTATGTAACTTACAAGCAACCATCATAACGAACAGTAGGCAACTCTCGGCAACTCAGGCGACGCCAAGAAGCTTGAAGAAGCTGTATCACGCTGCGTCCAACTACGTTATGGAAACGCAACGCACGTCGCTTTTATGCCTGTGATCGATAGACAAAGTAAGATCTACATCACTATCTCACTCGCTCTCTTGCTCTTGCTCTCCCTCTCCAACATTTGGTCACCAAATATACAAATCTAAAATTTTCCGTTCCAGGAGACCTATTTGAATTAGTTAAGAGCTCCCCCCGGATTGACGTGCTTCCTCTAAATTGTGTGTGTGTGATAAATTTCAAATATATTCTTTTGAAACAGTAAAATTACATAATAAAAATATTAGAAAATAATTTCTCTTGTATATAATACTCATATAACGTTGTTTTGTTACTCTTATTAATATCTTAAAATTAATAATTTTTTAAACTTTTTTTTTGTTTAATCAGTTGTCTGATTTGTTTTTAGTAATAAATATAGTTCTGCAATTAAATTGCAAAAAAATCATAAAAAATCATTGATAATTCTCTCTCTCTCTCTCTCTTTCTCTCCCTCCCTCCCTCCCTCCCCCTCCCTCTCTCCCTCTCTCCCTATATATATATATTTACATATATATTTTTTATTATATTTACAGTGTATAAATGGATATTTTAGGTAACGTTTTTATAACTTGTTAAATAAATTTCATTTAAGAATTAAAGAAATAAACAGAAAAATCGCATCCTATCTTTTATATAGGAAATTGTAAGATTTTTAGAAAAAAATATACATTATAATTTTATTAAGATTGTTGAAAAATGTTAAGTTATCACAAGAAATTATGTTCAGGTCAAGTTATCAATTGCACTTGACATTACATAGTCATCTAAATGTTATATATTTAACTGGCTAGTCATTGCTTATAATTATTATTCGATTCTTGGAAATCAGATTTCTACTTTAGGTGTAGATGGCTCTTCTTCCTTCGATTCTAAAGAAAAAGGTGGTATTCTACAATCAAATGAATATCCATCTTCTCTTTCCATCCTAAACGTTCCCCTAAAGAGTTAAATAAATAAATAATTAAATAAATAACACTTATATTGATAAGAATTAGATAATCGTACTTACCACATATGACCACTAGGAGCTTGCAAACTCACATGACTACTATATTGAAAAGCAGGTAAAACTTTTGATAATACAGGTTCTTGACCTACTACACCCCTCCCTCTAACAGTTTCTAGGGTACCGGACAAACTAAATATTCTCCAATGTCTTTCGCGCAACTGCACACTCAAGTCACCTAAGTTTTCTAATCGGATGCAATAACGCCACTATAATGTAAGAAACATAATAAAAATTATCGTTTATCTTTAATTAAGCTTCCTTCTTAAATAGAATGAAAAATTTCATTGTCTTAACTTACCCAATATACAGAAGTAGTTTGACTTTCTCTGCAACCCATGTAAAATGGTATAACAGTAACACGAACATTCTCTGTTGTTTCTTTGTGTACTTCCGATAATTCAAGCCATGGATGATTTTTTTTCTGCCATGCTCGGAGGGTCTCTTGTGCTACAAAACATGGTTCCTTGTCTGGATGATAGGTTAAAAATTTATCAAACAATTCGTGTTGCAATGCTGCTTTTTCATTTGTGGTATATGGCAATACATCTTCATGAGCAACATAATCCAATCCTGGAATAGCGTATAAACTGCGACTGCTCTCATGATTGCCCAAAAAAGTTACCGCTTCTGTTTGAGCACGCTAAACAGTATATAAAAGTATTGTATACATATAAAGCAGGATAAAAATTATAATTTTAATTGCTTCTTACTATAAAAGGACAATCTCGTTGATCAATCAAAACTTGATAAAACATATGTGGCCTGCCTTTTACTTCCTTCTCACCAACATTGTTGAAATTACTGTTATCCTTTCTATATAAAAGATAAAGATTATCTATATAACATCCATGTATAAAGCAAATAAATATATTTATTCATATAACTGCGCATACCCATCTTTCTTATTGGATAGAGCTCTGTCATATACTTTAGCCAACCATGGAAATAAAATTACACCTCGATAACCAAAAACTCTGTGCAAAATCAATTGACCTGTTTCATATTTTCCCTGTAATTTTGGTGTTTCTAATTTACCAACTTCTGCCAATCTGTAAAGATATTTATTATATAATTAAGCATATGTTAGTACTTTTTATCCACAAAATTTATAACAGACATAGTAAATAAAGATAGATATTTCAATTTACATTTTAATTACAAAAATTTGAATAGATAATGAAATAGCAACCTTCTTTCCAAACTAGTTTTGCACATGGATATAAAAAAAAAACAAGAAATTACAGTAATTGGCAGTAATAAAATCTGGTTTGAAAATAAATTTTCTTTTAATTAACGTAAAGCAGGATTGTTTAAAACAGTGAATAATAATTTATTTCGTTTATTTCATTCAATACCTTATGTATCGCGCGTGTTGCAAACGTGTTGCAGATGCCTTCAGGAGTGACCGCTTCAGATTGTGATTGACGAAATTCCGCATAAGTTCCATACTTGCTTGAGAAATATTGCTGATATTTTATGTGATTGTAGTTACTTATGTTGCTCTGTGGATAATTGTCCGTAATGCGTTGACATTTCTACCAACTTTTACCGATCATCTGACAATATTGAAGGTTATACTGTTTGTATTTATGACATGACCGAATGTGTGTGTGTATGTGTGTGAGGAGAAGGAAAATTGAAGCGCATTTATGACAAAGAGGGAATCTACATATCGTAAGCAATTATCGGGCGATTTTCTGAATTTATTTAAAATTAGAATTCAGTCTTAATTAAAATGTATAGAACATATAATTATTACATATACCAGTTGCTTACTACATACTTAAATTTTCATTCAAAATACAAATAATTTCCAAATAGAATACACTCGGGAGAACAATGATCGTTCTCACGAGTATTATTATTCGTTGGAGATGCTTCCAGCCGTTTCCATTGAAAGTAATGGTTGTTTTGAACTGAGCGAACGTTACAATTAATGAAAACGCGCAACAAAGTTTCATTTCGAGATAAATCGTCCAAAATAGCGGCAACTTCGTGGCGCACAACGGCGGAGCGTCCACCAATAGAATTCGAGAATTACGACAGGTCGGTGATGTAGCGGCACATCGTATCGCATCGTCATAGTCAGCGTCCTTTGACACGCTTAACCGCGTACGAAAAACGATTTCGCTACTGTTCCTCCGTTCCGTAATTCTGATCGTTCTGACCATGCCAAGTGTTTACAGAAAATCGCGCAAACTACGTCGTAGGCGATACACGCGCACTTAGTGAATTGAAGAGTTGGAAACCGCGCCCGAGTGATATACTTCGAAAGAAGCTATCCGCCGTGCAGTGAACCATCGTCGGATATATTTGCTTTATTGATATTTTAAGTGACACAGGCCTTGCGGTGCCTATGCATATCGCCAGGTAATATTCAACTACGTAAGTACTGCTTGTACCCTTTCCCGCCGCGACATTTCCAACCTCGGCAGCTCCTTACGAATGTCGTTATGCGAGAATCTTGTTTACGTCGTGGCGTGTATACGTATACGGCGAACACGCATAACCTCAAAGTCAATGAGATCCACGGCTGTTTATTTCTCAACAATTATTACGTCCATTAATGTATTAATATAACGTTGAAGAATTTAATATTTTATTCTGATAACGTTTTACTTGCCTGTTCGTAAAATAAAGTAAATTTTTTTCTTGATATCTTATGTGAAATATGTTAGAAGATACTGTGTAAAGATGCTTCTGTATTCTATAGATATTCACAGTATTTCCATTAATTATCATCTAGTTTAACATTAAATTATTTACACATTAATATATTGAAAATATATAAAGATATAATTTGTACTACTACACATATCAAACATGCATATATAATTTTCTGTTTTAGACCATATCAAAAGTTATTATATTTTATGTTAGCATTTACTATTACAGCAAATATAATTTAAAGTATTATGAATATGTTATGAATTAACAAATAGAAAGCACAATTCAAAATGTAATATAAAAATTTTATAGCTTTATACAACTTTAAGAAACAAATTTGCATAACTTAAACTTTCTTTTCTTTAAATATATATGTGCAATGTTTTTGAAACAAAATTATATTTTCAGTAAAGTATGTATATATGAGATAAAATATCAATGATATATTATTTAATATAAATTGTGTAAAGATGTCAGACTGTCAAAAATATCAATCATGTTCCCTGTATTGTAAATTTTCTTGAACTTAAATACAAAATGTTGCATAAATAAATATTATTATATTGCAGAATTTGGACCGTGTTTTAGAATACATTAAAGATAAAGTGCTTGTTGTATTCGGCTAATTTATTGAGTAGCCATGTCGGAAATAATATACCCTGCAGGATGCAGGTCAGTCACCGAAGATTTAGGTGCAGATGAGCTAATCAGAAGACTTAAGGTACATTTAGATAATATATTTAATCACTGATGAACACTACAGAGTATATATCAGTACTATATATTTTGTATTATATATATATCGTATGTATATTCTGTATTACATACAATACATACAATATTTTTGTATTACATACAAAATATAACATTAAAATGTAATAAATGTACAGACACTAGCACACACACTGCAAGCCATGGGACAAGATGAGGGAATGTACCAGCAATATATTCCACTTGCGTTACACTTGGCAGAAGAGCACTTTCTGATGCATCAGAGCAAAGATGTACAATTATTAATTGCCTGCTGTATTGCAGATGTCTTAAGGGTTTATGCACCAGAGGCTCCTTATAAAGATGCTGAACAGGTAAAGATTTATATATATATAAATTATATTAATTGATCTGAGTAGTTATACATTGCTGTTTTTATGTAATTGATTAATGTAATTGTTTAGGTCAAAACAATATTCCTATTTTTGATTAAACAACTGGCAGGATTAAAAGATCCTAAAGATCCTGCTTTTAAGAGGTACTTCTACCTACTTGAAAATTTAGCTTATGTTAAGTCATTTAATATGTGCTTTGAGTTGGAGGATTGTCAAGAGATTTTCTGCGCATTATTTTCCCTAATGTTCAAAATAGTGAAGTGAGTACTTGAAAATAAAAAGAAAAAGAACAATTTTTAAAATGTATGCGATGCAATGTATGATCAATATAATTTGTTTCTAGTGATGAACATTCTGGCAAAGTTAAAAGTTTTATGTTGGACGTTCTCTGTCCACTGATTACCGAATCGGACATTGTCAGCAATGAACTTTTGGATATCATACTCATGAATATTGTAGAGCCAAACAAAACACAAAAGAAAAACGCATATTTGCTTGCTAAAGAGCTAGTGATTAAATGTAGCGACACATTAGAACCATATATTCAAGCAGTGAGTAATAAGAATATTAACAATTTCTGTGAAGGAATAGACATTTCGAGATATGTAACATGCGAAATTTTGTATTTTACAGTTCTTCAATCATGTCTTAATACTAGGAAAAGAGGAGAAAAGTTTACAAATTTGCAAGAAAGTGTATGATTTAATTTACGAATTGAATCACATATGTCCGAGTGTCTTGCTGTCCGTCCTTCCACAGTTAGAATGCAAATTGAAATCTTCCTCCGAGACTGAAAGATTGGGCGCTGTAGCATTGCTAGCGAGAATGTTCTCTGAGAAAGGTTCGCAGTTGGCCGTGCAGCACACGCAGTTGTGGAGGGCGTTCCTGGGACGATTCAACGATATTAGCGTTTCCATTCGTATTAAATGTGTGCAGTATTCGATGCATTTCTTGTTGAATCATCCCGAACTGAGGAAAGATATCACAGACACTTTGAAGTTAAGACAACACGATGCTGATGAGAGCGTTCGCTACGAAGTCGTTACAGCTATAGTGACAACAGCCAAACGAGATTTTGAAGTCGTATCAGATAGTGAGGACTTACTTGAATTTGTCAAAGAAAGAACATTGGACAAGAAAGTAAGATATTAAGCTTAACAAAGTTATTTAAATTTAACATTGATACTTAGATTTGTGACTTTAACTTATTAATGACCATATTTTCAGTTTAAAATACGAAAAGAAGCGATGTCTGGCTTAGCTATGATATACAAGAAACACTTGAACGATGCGGATGTGCCGCAAGCCACAAAGAAGGCAGTCATCTGGATAAAAGATAAAATATTGCATGGTTATTACATGGCAGGCATGGAAGACAGGCTGTTGGTGGAGAGACTGCTAAATACGTGCTTAGTACCTTATCAGCTACCAGCTGAAGAGAGAATGAAAAAGTTATACCACCTTTTAGGTACAATTGATGATCACGCTTCCAAAGCTTTCGTGGAACTTCAGAAGCATCAGCTTGCGTACGTTATACATTGATTCGTTTTATTCATAAGTTAGCTTAAAAATGTTGGCATTCTAACACAAATTAATTATGTTTAAATTTAGCGTGCGAAGAGCAGTGGTTGAATGGATAGAAATTGTGAAGAAACCGGATGCTAAGAACGAACTGGTGACGAAGATTCATCAAATATCGCGTTTTCTACCCGATCCTATGAAAGTGCAGGAATTCCTCCAAAAGTTTAGCTCTCATATGAGGAAGGAGGCGAAATTACTGCAAGAGATGGAAACCATCGTACAACCGAATGTGTCCTGCAAGGAATGTGCAGACACGATAACTAAAGTTCTCAAAAGATTAGGACAACCCGTCATGACTAATCTATACTATAATACGATTAAGATGTTGCTTGAGAGAGTAAGCTCTGTTATGATTGATGAGGAGGCGATTAGGGTAAGTATTCCATTTTTGAGACTAATTTATTTATTTATTTTTTTTTATAAAGAGATATTTAATATTCATGTATATGTGCAAATTAGGTTTTGATTGGATACGTCTTAGACTGTTTAAAGAGTGGTAACGTGATAGAAGAGGTCGGCCTTAACCCGAATAATGCCGGAGAAAAGGGACTGAGACTATTAGTGGTAAGTTTACTTTGTATCCCAAAAAATAAATGTTGGAATAGATTTAGCTTAAAATAAAATTTTAATAAATGAAAGTTATAATTTTATAACTAATAATACATGTACATTATCTGAAATTTCAGATGCTATCGTTTGTGTTTGGCCCGCATTTCTTGCATAATGATATCTTGATGCAATTGGTCAATCTGCTCGAGTTAGAGGACGAAATGGTGGCACCATTAGTTCTCTCCATCTTCACTTTCCTAGGCAAATACAAACCTTTGTGCGACGTTGCACCAGAAATAATGAATCTTATGGTGCCGATATGCAAAAATTTTGCCGAGACGGGAACGCCGAAGCAGGCAAAACAGGCCGTGAGATGTTTATTTGTTAACATGACCAACATTCACGACACCATATTCCCCGAGATCATAGAGAGAATTAAGAACACGCTGACGCCGACGTCGGAATATTATCGGACATCTATAGTCACATTAGGTCACATAGCATATAATTTGCCAGACAAATATCCAGTACAAATAAAAAATATGGTATCCAGAAAAGTAAGTACTGCAAAAATTGTAACAACTTCTTGACGCTTTATCGCTATTTTACACGATGTAATTCTTGCCCCTGCAGATAGTTAAAGAATTACTAGTGAAGGAAAGCAGCGAGCAAAATGAGCCTATCGAGGGAGACTGGTGCAGGGAGGATCAATTACCGGAGGAGACGCGATGCAGATTGGAAGGCTTGAAGTGCATGGCACGCTGGCTGTTGGGATTGAAGACTGATGTGTTGTCGGCGCAAAAGACATTCAGGATGCTGAACGCCTTTATGGTTAACAAAGGTGATCTGCTGTCGCAAGGACGTCTGAGTAAAGCTGAGATGAGTTGGTTGCGACTACAAGCGGGTTGCTCAATGTTGAAGATATGCGAACAGAAAGGCGTCGGCGATCAATTTACTGCGGAACAATTTTATAATCTTTCACAACTTATGGTGGTACGTTTAGCACACACACACAAATTTATTTTCCTTATTTTAATATAATTTAATTATTTAATCTAATATAATTTAATATAATTTAATATAATGTAAATAAATTTTGATCATGATTGATGAACTTATTTTAATATGTTAATTTGTTGTTTAGGATGAAGTTCCTCAAGTCAGAGAAGCTTTTGGCAGCAAGCTGCATAAAGGTCTTGGGAGAGGAATTCCAAACAAATGTTTACCATTGGATTTCATGGGATATTACGCTCTGGCTGGAAAGGAACAAGATAAAAGATTAAAATGTGTGCTAAAAACATATATGCAGACAGACATAAATAAGAGAAGGGATTATGTAAAGACTCTTTCGTTGGGTACAGTCGAGCGAGCTATGGGTAAGAAATATTGCAGCGCTTTTATCATCTTGTTATCGCTAGAATTCTTTTCACCATTTCGTAACTTTTGTAATTTCATAGGTCAACTACCCCACATTTTACCGGATTACATGCTAGTTTTCGCAGTACCTATTCTCGCACATGATCCCGAATTTACGAGTCACCTAACGGTGAGTCAGTTAAAAGTCATTCAGCAGTGTCTTTGGTTCATTTTGGAGCCTCTTATCACGAAGAACGAATATTACTGTTATGGATTTTATAAAAATCTTGTGGAGCGTATGAAGAGTCATAAAGACGCATTGAAGCCTGAGGACAACGAAATGAATTATGTAATTATCGTGAATTAGACTTAATTTTTTTCTCAAATAATTTCTTAATTCACGACTAATCTTCATACTTTTATCGCGTACAGAAACTGTGGGCTGTTTGTGATTTGGCGATGAATGTAATATACACAAAAACTACCAATTTTGACATGAAAGAGTTTCCGAGCGAGACGCGAATTCCGACGATGTACTTCAAGCGGGCGGACGAAACGATGTCCAACATTAAGAATTATTTACCATCGGAACTGCAGATAAACATGACGACACAAAAAGGAAAAGGATTCCACAACACACACACGACCAATGAAAGACCACAGCGCAGAGCTAAGTCCAAACAGCAGAAGGAAGTGGGCATTGGACCTAATGAAACTGATGCAAGAGTAAGAGTAATTTTTGAAAGAAATTTTTTTTTTAGTTAATAATATCTAGTTTATTTAATTTAACTACTAATTTAATATAAATACAGTTAATAATAAATATTTTTATTAATTATATTACCATGTTAGTATTACAATAAAATTGCACTAATTATATTTTAAGAGAGATTTTAATCTTATAAATATCAAATGCAACACATGTAATTCTTTGAGTGTGTATAATTATGATTTCAAGCTGCAAGTTGAAGAAATGGAATGTATCGATGCACAGGTAACCTTTTAATTTAGTGTAATATTAGAATGACATTATATATACTTTTATTAAAACTGTTTGTTTTATATATACTGTTAATACTACTGTTAAATTGTAATTATTTTATTTATTTGTAGCCTGCCGAAGCATCAGAGACCAGAATTCAACTACCTGGGTTGGAAGAAGAAGTAAGTCCATTTTAGTTTTAGCAAAGTTTCTTTAATACATTAACAAAATGTCTAATCTTATCTTTTTTACTTAGATCGAGGAACCACCAGCGAAGAGGGCATTAAAGGAATCGGATAAAGTAAATAAATAATTCAGTGATCGGACTATACCCAAAGGGACATTGGGATGGGGAAAGACTTAAAGCACATGATGATAAGCAAATTAAAGGATCTAAAGAATACTTTACAAATTAGAAAACAGAATATTTTGGTTATGTATAACAATTAATAAACCTAAGTCGTTCGTGTATTTCTAGAATGTAAGATGTTAAGATGGCACATTAATTGTCATAAAATTAATGCGTGTAGGCTTACAATACAGAAAGTTCTCTTTGGATAGCAAGAAAGTTCTTTTTATGGGTAAGAAAATGAGAAGAGAAAAGAAAATGAGAAGAGAAAAGAAAATGAGAAGAGAAGAGAAACTTGAGTGAAACAACTTGTGGGTAAAAAAAGAGGAAAAGAAGAAATAGAATAAAATGTTTGCTAATTTCTCGCGGATACATCCTTAAATGTTTGTTTGATAAAAATCGATCATTGATAAACTGAATTACATATTTTTACTTGTTATTTTTACGAATTATGAAAGTCATTTATCATAACAAAACACTTTTTTAGATGATCGTATATAGGTTTGAAGAAAAAATTAAAACTTGTATTTAAACATTTAATCATTTTTGTCTTTTTTTGCGCTATTAGATGAATAAATATATTTCTCTACTTTACGAACATTTAACGAATGCTGCCGTAACATTGTTTTGCCGAAAATGAAGCATCGTTTTAAATAGTAAACATATAAACAAATATTGTCAATATACTTTATTGATAAATGAATAAAACGATTTTCTGCAAAAGAAATATATCCAGATATATCAAATGCATGGTCACTTTATAATCAAGAAAGGAGAATACTATAGTTTTGTTGCATAAACAATATTAGATAAGATTGTGTGTTTATTGGCTTTGTGATCCAAAGTTGTTGGTTTTTAACATTACAATCATCGCCACACTTTAGTCGCAATTATTATGGTCGATACATTTTAAGTATAATCTATGTATAACGATGAAAATTGAATATTGCGAGAATTTGCGAAAACCTTCAACTTTTGTATTTATAAATAAACGTAAAATTAAAATTATACCGATTGCAAAAGATTATTGCGCAACACCTTAATTTATATTAATGTATATGGAATTCTTACGATTTACATGTGTATGAAGAGATCGTAATCTGCTATTTTAGTTTTATTTATTATATATATTCTAAATGTCTGAAAGATATAGAAAAAAAGATTTTTGGGCACGAATTCGAATGAAGCTGAGTAATTTAAAGTGGGCCTAGGTTTTAAAGACTAGTAAGTTTTTAAGTTTTCAATATATTAAGGGATTATTAAGCATAAACATTCAACTATATTAAATTTAAAGATGAATGAAAATTGCGGATAGATTTATGAATGGTGATGGATGCTTGAAATCATAAACATTATAGAATTAACATATACCTATTACCTCTTCATAGAAATTACAGTACAATGCACAATCTGCACTGCATAATTTTCCAAATTTATATTTACTATCATTTATTTTCTTATTAATAGGTGTTTTGTATACAACATCAATTTTCTCTAGAATGCTTTGTTATCCATCAGCGACTATCTTTATATTCTACAATGATTGGCAGTGATATTGAAATTATATTTTTGCAAATACAAAATTATTTTGCATAGTACTGCAATTTTTTCAAACAGGTCATAGACTACGAAAAGTATACATAATCTGATTAAAAAAAAATCAACTAATCAGTGCTATTCATCTGTCAATCTGTGAGATTATGGCGTATTGTAATGGTTCTATAATAAAACAAATTAAATAACGTGGCATGCATTTAATCATACAATTTCATATTACAAAATCAACGTTTTTTTAAACGTTTATTTTGACCTTTTCTCGCTCCAAATTTATTTTTTTGTTGTGGCTTGTATGTATTTTGTCTTATCTTAACGTTTGCCCTAAAATATACAAATCAAGATTATTATACTATGCATTATCTATCTATTGAATTTATTAATACTATTGAAAGAATTTTAATAACAAAATGTACTTACTCGTATCGCATTCTTTTAACCCCTTTTTGACTTGTATCTGTTAAATCATTGACAAATGATGATTTTCGGCGTTTTAGTGACCCTGAAATAATATAATTCATTAGATCAGCGCAATTCTTTAGGTATTATAAAATAATACAAAGTTATACCTTTTTTAGCGAAGTCGCGATTACTTTCATCCATAACTACTTTCATCTTCTTCTGCTTGTTGCTCCTTTTAGCTAATCGTACTTGATAGGCAGCTATCTTCTCTAATTCTTTCTTGGCTCTATCTTCCGCTGTATTTTTTGTAGGTTCATTTTGTATTTTTTTCTTTTTTTCTTTCACTATGTTGGAAGGCTCTTCGTTATTTTTCTTTTTACGAACTTGTTTTCCACTTAACCGAAAGTTGTCTGAAAATACAAATTTAATTAGTTTACAATTACACACTGTTCTGCTATTAAGATATAAAAAATAAAGTTGCGTTACCTTTCTCCTTTTTTCTTTCCTTCTTATTTTGGAACCAGCTCCTCTTATTTTTGCCATCTTCATCTTTAAGTAATTTCTCAACACGATTAGCTTGGTTCTCTATTTTGGCTAATTCTCTTTCACTTTTCTCTTCTTGCAAAATATTTTCCACATCTGATTCCAGAGACTGTAATTTCTTATTGTATTTTTCTATTATATCAGGCGGTATTATTCTATTTTTAACTGGATTTCTTGCTTGTTTAATAACTTCTTTAACCAAAAAACGTTCCTGTTCACCGGCTAATGATACAGAGACACCTCCACGTCCTGCTCTTGCGGTTCTCCCAACTCTAATTATTACAAATATAGTTTGTTATATTTTTGACAAATATATAAGTACACAATGCGTTAAAAATTTTATATCATACCTGTGAATATAATGTTGAAGGGTGGCAGGCATTACAAAATTAATCACAGTTTTTACACCACTTATATCTAAACCTCTTGCAGCAACATCGGTCGCTAATAAAATATCAATTTCCTCGTCTTTAAATTTCCGGAGATTCTCCAGTCGTTGTGGTTGTGTGAGATCACCATGAAGTTCTCCAACCTTTTGAAATAAAAATAGTATATATTATAAAGTATTATATTAACTGTTAAACACATTATTTTTTCCACCGTTGCTTTTATTAAATAATTACTTACTTTTATGCCTAATAATCCCAATAAAATATGCAATCTGTGAGCCTGCTTTTTTGTCTGTACAAAAACCATGGCGTGATCATGGAAAGTTCGGCAAACTAATGCTGCCAAAATTGCTTCACGATCTCCTTCTCGTTCCTTACGTATACTGAAATCACATTTTGGTTAATAAATTAGTGCATAAAAGAAATAATCACAGAAAGTTTACTTACCGAATAAATTCTTGACGCAAGTTGAACGCCACATCTTGATTGCTATCCACAAATATTTTAATAGGTTTGTCGAGAGATACCGCAGCTAAATCTTTAACTTCCTCTGTCATAGTAGCAGAAAAGAGGATAGTCTGCCTGGTTCTTGAACATTGCTTCACGATGTATTGCATTTGTTCAGCAAAGTATTCATCCAACATCCTTAGATTGAAAAAAATGGTTAGAAATAATTATATTATAAAAAATTATAGATATGTATTTTATATTATTCTTTTACCTATCGGCTTCATCTAGAATTAAAACTTCAATGCTGTCCAATGAAAAAGTGGGTGCATTTTTTAAATGATCAATCAATCTTCCAGGTGTTGCTATCACAATATCTGGATTTTTCCTCAATACACCTTCCTATATTAATTTATTTATATCATTAATAAAGAAAGTTAATTTACTAATTTATGCAAAAAAAAAAAAAGAAATTTACAGGGAAAATAACTTACCTGTACTTTTACATCCAATCCACCTACAGACAACCCAACTTCTACTGTTGTAAATTGAGCTAACTGTTTTGTCACTTGATAAACCTGCACTCCCAGCTCTCTGGTAGGCACAAGTACAAGAACACGCGAAATAGCAGGGCCGTTCAGCGGCCTGTACAATAATCTTTCCAAAGTGGGCACCATATAAGCCGCAGTTTTGCCAGTTCCAGTTGCTGCACAACCACAAATGTCACGACCCATTAAAGCTACAGGAATGGTAGCAGCTTGTATAGGAGTTGGTTGTACAAAATTCATTGCTGTTATGGCCTGTAAGTTCAAAAGGTCAATAATTTTAGCAATTAACTATTAGTTTAGTAAATACTTATAATTGTTACTTACTTTTAACAAAGGCCTAGACAAGTTCATTTGATAAAATGTAGCATATGTTTGAGAGTCGGTACATTCCTCAAAATCAATCACTTCTTCATCCTTTTCTTTAGCAGAATTCTTCTTTTTGCCTTTTCTTTCCTTAGTTTTAAAAATATCTGCAATTAATTAACAAATAAAATGAATGTATAGACTATTAAAAATTATATGAATAATATAATAAACATATAACAGAATATTTTGTTGTAAGATAAAGTATAAAAATTATAATTTTTATAAATTTTAGTTATAGTAGTTAAATAAAGTTAAAATATATGTACCTTTCTTAAGTTCATCCTCGGATAATGAAGTGATATCATCATCATCATTTTGATCAAGTTCATCATCATTTTCTTCAGGTTCAATAGGATCATCCTCAGTTCCATTCTAACAATTAGAATAAAAAAAATTTTTTAGTAATCATGTCACTATAAATTGTAAATAATGCAGATAATAATATATCACGTACCTGTGTATAGTTTTTTCTGGCTTTTTTTATCTTATCATCTAATTTCGTTTTTGGTTTTCGTTTAATATATTTGTTTAAATCATTCCAAGGATCCTGATTGTATTCGGTAGCATTACTTATGAATTGAAAGTTGGAGTCAAAGTCTTTATTTTCTTTTTTCTTTTGCTTCCGTGGTTGAAACTAATCAACAGATGAGAAAAAAAATTAGAATCCAAAATAAGATAAAAATGTATTCGTAAAAATGGCAAATAATATTATATAAAATGATATAAAAAGAATATGTGGGATTTTAATAGATAGCCTGCATTATTTTGATATATAAACGATTCTTTCAGCTTACATCATCTTCCTCGTCGGAATTTTCAGAATAATTTGGGACTTCTTCATCCTCTTCAATAGTCTTTATTAAATCACAATTATTCATTATTTTACTTTAAATTAAAAGCCCCACCAGTGATAATACACACGCGCTGTTTTTAGGTTATTAACTATCAACACGTGGATACAACAGATACAGAACGGACGCAACACGATGTGTACATAGGCGTAAAAGAATCTTTTTTAACGAGTTTAGATACGCCATTGCATTTTGCAGTATTGTAACAAATCATATGTGGGCCCCATTTATGAATATAGAAATAATTACAGAAGTAATTGTAGAAATAATTGAAAGAAATTTTTACATGCAAGAAATACAATGACGTAATAATATATATGAATATAAATGTATATGAAAAAACTGCTTTTATCGATTGCTATCCTATGTTATTATTGGTTGAAGGTACTGTATACATTTGTATTTCAGACCAGTTCAGACTGCTTCGTTCACACTGTGTAAATTGGCGGGAAATGAGTTTTCTGTGAGGAAATGTCCGCCGTATAGCAGTCGTATAGTGTTGTGAGTTTCTTATGTGCATGACGTGTATAACAAAATTTCGCCAATATGGGTATTTTAGGCTTATCGAAGTTAATAGCAGACGTAGCTCCGGAAGCTATCAAAGAGCGAGAATTGAAACATTATTTTGGTACGTAACTATTATTTATTCCGTGTTTACTATTATACTTTTAACCAAGAATAAGCTTTTATGTTCATAAGTAGTCTTTCTAATATATCTTGCTACATTGTTATTTTATTAATAATATCTAATATTGCATATTAGTAATTCTTGATTTTGTCTTAGGTCGCAAAATAGCTATTGATGCATCCATGTGTTTATATCAGTTCCTTATAGCAGTACGCAGCGAAGGGGCTCAACTCACTACTGTAGATGGTGAAACAACTAGGTATATCTTCTAATTATACAATGATATTTTGTTGTAACCTATCCCAAAATTTTGCAAAATAATGTTTATGAAAAATTAAGGAGTAATCAATAATAAATTTTGTTATATAGCCATTTAATGGGCACATTTTACCGCACCATAAGATTGGTAGAACAAGGAATAAAACCTGTGTATGTTTTTGATGGAAAACCACCAAACTTAAAAGGTGGTGAATTAGCCAAAAGAGCTGAGAGAAGGGATGAAGCACAGAAACTCCTGCAGGCTGCTGAAGAAGATGGTAATAATACATTATATTTTTTTACTATTGTAATTATTTTTACAATAATTTACATTTATTATATATTGTACAAAAACATTACACAAGATTTTAATAATATATATATTTCATTAGGAAATGTGGAGGCTATAGACAAATTTAGCAGAAGATTGGTTAAAGTTACAAAAACTCATGCTGAAGAAGCTAAACAATTACTTCAATTAATGGGCATACCTTACATTGACGTAAGCAATTTTATAAATCAAATGTTAAATCAAACATGCTTTCTTTTTTATTTATTTAAGTAATCAATTTTTATATAGGCTCCATGTGAGGCTGAAGCACAATGTGCCGCTTTAGTGAAAACTGGTAAAGTTTTTGCAGCTGCTACTGAGGATATGGATGCACTTACTTTTGGCTCGAATGTACTGCTTCGACGATTGACTTTTAGTGAAGCCAGAAAATTGCCCGTACAAGAGATTCATTTTGATAAGGTTCTTGCAGGTTTGGAGTTAAATCATAATGAGGTATGCATTTTTATTATCTTTATTTCACAATAATGATGTTATTTTATCCATTATTCTGAAATAACACATATTTTACAGTTTATTGATCTTTGCATCATGTTGGGTTGTGATTATACTGGTAGCATTAAAGGTGTTGGTCCAAAAAGGGCAATAGAATTAATAAAAAATTACAGGTCTCTTGAAAAAATCATTGAAAATATAGACACCAAAAAATATCCTGTACCGGAAGACTGGAATTATAAAGAAGCAAGATTATTGTTTCAAGAACCAGAAATATCGAATGCTGATGATATCCAAGTAATATTTAACATCAAATAATTTAATTTTTTACGCATAAATTATTTGCGTAATTAATATTTTTTTCATTTTGCAAGTTAAAATGGTCTGAACCAGATGAAGAAGGTTTAATAAAGTTTTTATGCGGTGACAAACAATTTAATGAAGAGCGGGTTAGAAACGGAGCTAAGAAACTTCACAAGGCTCGAAATACATCCACGCAAGGACGATTGGACTCTTTCTTCAAAGTTTTACCGAACTCTAACTCGAATTCAACGCCAAAACGAAAGGTAAAACATTTCTTGAAACTATATATTTTAATCTTTATGAATATTTAAATCAGTTATTTTTTTTTTATATTCTTATAGGCGGAAGAAAAAAAGACACCGGCTAAAAAGGCAAAGGCAGGTAACAGTAAGTTTCGCGGTAAAGCAAAATAAGCAAAATAAGATTAATATTACAAATTTAATAAAAATGTACAATAGAGCTAATCGCATATATACTTCTATTGACTTGATAAGTATCGAAATTTTATTCCATTATAACATGTCTTATACTTATTTTATTTTTTGCGTTTTATATTGTAATTTTAATTGGTAAATCTCGCATATATGACATTTCTATTTATTTCAAAAATATATCATGTACAATATTCATATACAATGTATATCCTTATAAATTTCGTAATAGTAAGCATTTAATTTGTGCATGTTTCTATAAAAATAATTTATTATTACATTTATTGTCATTAAATCTTTTATTTCTTATTAATGGAGTTTGACAGGAATTTAGAAAAGGACATAGTATTTCGTGTGTTTAGTTTAGCAATTCTATATCTTATGTGATGTCAGTCTTTATTTCAGCACCAAGTATCTTTTAAACCATTATTTCTTAATTTTCAATAATGTGAATGTTTATTAACAATGTACGGCAGTGATTACATGCCAAAATTACAAACTACTGTTATGTACAAAAGGTATAGAATTTTTTCTTCTATCAATGATAAAACATTACTTAAATGTTATAATAGTACTACCAATAGAATTCGGATCTAAAACATGTTGCAAGGCCCACTCGATATTGTACGGTGCGTATACTTTGTCCACAACCGTTTGTAATTGGTTTGCATCAGTCAGCTCGCATAAAGCTCGCAGATACGCAGTGTCCAATTTTGCGCCTTCTTTCCATTGATGTATATTAAATCCAAACATATACTACAATGTAAAGTATCAGTCAGTTATGTAATTTGATTTTAACATTATAATTAATGATGATTCAAATCAAACATCAAAGATATCAAATTAAAACATACCTGAACCAATAATTTTATTCTAATGCATCCGGCAAATATGCTTCTACAAATAAGTCCCAACGAATCTGACGTTAATTGTTCAGGGACGGTAGATACGTAGGAACCATGAGGCAGCAAGTGTTTCTTTAAAATATGTTCTTGAATAGGGTGTTTATCAGTATAAAAAATCGCATCATACCTGTGTAATGAAAGAAGTGTGGCATAATTAAAAAATACTATTACGTTTGTCGAAAATATAAGTTTAGATAGACTCGATCGTGTTAAAAACTTTCATACTTATCGTGCATTTCTAATTCCTTTTCTATATCGGTTTCGTTAATCGTTATAACTTCGTCGGCTCCTAATGCTTTCATTACGAGCACTGCGTTCGCTCCTCTGCATGCAGTTACTACATATCCTCCCCATAATTTGATCAATTGCGTCAAGATGCAACCAATTGGAGTGCTTCCGCCATAAATAAAAACTCTGTAACGATAATGTCAATTAATATTTTCATAGAATAATTAATATTTTCAACATGAGAGCATAGAAAATGTTAAGAGCACTACCGCTTTCCTTTAGCGTTGCCTTCCTTAATGACAGATTGATTAACTAATGCATCCCACGCCAAGCAGCCGTTGTATGGTAGGCTGGCAGAGGCTTCGAAGGAACAAGATTTAGGCCGTTTTGCTACTTGCGTTTCTGGAACGATTATATATTGCGCCATCGTGCCAGGAGCCCACGATGGAACAGCTAAGAATACCTCATCTCCAATATCGAAGTTGACAACGCCTTGTCCAATGTCGACTATTACGCCCGCGCAATCCCTTCCTAAAGTTATAGGTGGTTCTTTCTGTTTCTAAATACATAGTTCGTGCATTACAATGATATTATGTTGCGAGCTATCAATGGACTCTTGTGAGTTTACTTACTGAATTAAGTAATCTCCTATAAATCCTGGAATAACCATAACATATCTTTGTATCGATAACGTTAAGCGAAGTGGCTTTAACTTGTATTAATAATTCGTTCGATTTTTTGATTGTTGGCATTTCAACATCCTCTATTAATGATACATCCTATATGATAGTATGAAATAATTTCTATATTCAAAAACTACAGAATATGATATATATTAGATATGTTATACCTCGAAACCATAATAGTGATGGCAAACTATAGCTTTTATATGATGTATATGACCAGAAACAGGTTTCCATTTTACACCAATATAATAACCCATTACAGTTCCAAGTGCTATACCAGTGAAACAAAACATTGCTTCTCTCCTTGACACTAAAATACAAATTTTTATTAGTAAAAATCAATGTTAAAAAGTATATTAGTAAAAACACAGCTTGTTATAATTTTTTAAAGTACTCAATACCCTTATTAGCACATAAGGTTCCTAATTGGTGATAAAAGCCAAGTGTATTCCAGTGGGCATTATAATACTGAAATTGTATTTCTTGCCAGCCTCTTTGTACCGAAGCAGCAGTGCGCAGTGCAATATCTTTGGCATGCTGCGCATGTTGCTCCTCGCAAAGCTGTAGAATAAACTGACGCAACTGTTCTAGCCATGTTATACACCACTGATGTCCCTGTTGAACTGCTACAGACACTTGAACCTTCCCCCAAATTTTTTTTGTGTAATATATTTATATTTCTATGAATAATTATATTTCATGAAAGTGATTTGTGTACGTAGATTAAGCAAAGGTTAGCAAAATTTTACATGTTTTTTTTTTTAATTGCAGATACAAAACTTGTATGTAATTATATACAAGTATATATGTATATATATAATTTATTTCTGTATAGAATACAATTTTTCCACAAATTACGAATAAAAAAAAACTGTAACGAATTTAACGTTAAATTTAAAAACGACAGAAAACAATATATTTTACAAAATATTTTAATTCTAAGTTAACTTAAGAATTCTATGAAGAAAAATATTATGTAAAACACGATCGTGGGAGTAAACGCGGAAAGATGTATATCTAATTACCTGTAAAGTTTCAAGCTGATTTGAGAGATGAAACCAAACCTCGTCCATAATTCGAATACGGCCAAAAAAAAAAAAAAATTAAAAATAAAATTTAAAACAATTTCCTAAGGTCGCGATAGTACGTAAAGACTTCGTAAACGGTGGCTGGAAAAGCAGCACAGCGATGTTATAAATAAACGATTAACTCATTGCGTATGACTCGAAATAGATATCAAGTTTGTATTACAAAGTGTGATGACGGGTTGGTAAACATCTTCGCGATGATGCGGGTTAATGCCTTCCAAGTGAATAAGTGCACGTCGACATGTTACTTTCGTTGGATCATCACTTTCTTAAACCATCTTAAACTGACATCGTCGATCTAATCGTAAAGGAGAGGTTAGTTCACGCCATGTATTTACAACGACGTGACATGTTTAATTCGTAGCGTGACGTAACGACAGCGCATTGCGCATGTCAGATCATGTGATGCCAGAACGCAGGCGCCTCTCGTGGAGAAGCGTTGCATTACATTAGCTGCGTATCCTCAGTTTGAACGTAACGGCTTTTACTTCATTGGTTCTTCGTGAATCCGGAAAGAGGTACAGAGGCTCGTCGCTAGGTAATATATCTTGGTATTTCAGAAGAAAAAATGCGATGTTCATTTTATGAAGGTAATAAGACTGTAGTTAGACATGCGATTGATGTTCAGAGAATATAATTCGCAACGACGAATGCGTTCTTAATGAGTTATCTCGATCCTACATGTTGCATGATTCATTGACTCTGCTACTTGCGTTCAAAATGGCGATTTTTGTATAAATTCGGAGAAGGAGTAATAAATTAGAGGGATAGAAAGAAATATTTCCATGATCTCGAGGCGTGTGCGCATATTATCATAGTTGTAACATGCCATATTGTATTATTATATATATTCTTATTGAAATTTGGAAAAGAATAGTATAATAGAGAGATGAATTAATGAAAAGGAGTATTGCCGTGATGTAAAGGCGCATTCGTATTATCATAATTATAACACGGCATATTATTTTGCATATAATTGAGATACATGATTTTTGTGAAATTGATGAATTTATTTCAGAAGTAAAAATTTTTGACACAAGATCGCGCGAACACAGGTTTATCGACACTCATCGGTACGCGTCGGTAAATATAATATTATTACTATCGACATCGAAGTAGACAAAATAGAATGCTTTAATTAAGATTATCGATTGTGTTCAACAAATACTTCAAAGAATATATCATTAGATGACAGCACATTATAGTTTTTGAAGTATTTTTTTCATGACAAAGAGCATAGTATATATATATTGTGCTGAAAAGAGATACAAGAGAAAATATTAAAAAATAAAGGGACTTTTAAAACTATTTTTTACTTTTTGACTTAATTTTGTAATATCTTTAAGGTTATTTTTAGAATAAAGAAAGAAGGAATTTTACTTACAAATAACAGAAAACTTGTTTACGAAATAATCTTCAGTGAAAAATTGATAATTAGTATCTCAATTAAATGCGTATTAAAAGACGTTTGATAAAATCAAAGAACATCAGTTTTGTTTTTTAAATACTGAGATATATTCTTAACGTATTGTATTTCGTTGTAGAGCGCATCGCGCGTGAGCGTTCCGACGAAATCGTGTCGCGATCAAAGCCACGGTGACATTGGCCCGAGTATCCCCACTCAGATATTTACTGTTTACCGAAAACAAAACATATATGAGTCAGTTGTGCTGTAAAAATAAACATACGCATGAGCCTAGCTGTGCCCAGTTGTGCTTCGTTATTGTTGAAGGAAAGTTGTACAATTTAAACGTAAATAAAAATGCGATCATCGTGTCGCACGCAAATTGTACGCATTTCTTGCGTCATGATTCACGGAACATCGTGTTGTGCGTGGTATTTAACGTTCCGGAGTGTCGGGAGTGTCGAGAATATGAGTGTACTCGTATTATCGGTTGCGAAAAGGTCGCGGCGAAATTATCTCGTTAAACGCACGTATAAACGCACGTATAAACGTGCGTCGGGAGTGCCGAATCAAGTGTCGCGCGGACGGATCGTATCGCGTTAATTGATGTACGCGTCCTTAATTAGCCGCGTTTTTCCGATCGATTTATATCAGTGCGTGAGTGAATGCCTGGACTGATGGAGAAGCAATTAGCGGAAGGACAACGCTGGTGCAGAGGATGGTGAGTATGATCATTTTTCAGTATTCTTGTATTATAATTATTTATTTATTTGACGCATACAGTGATTATGGTTTAACAAATACTTTGATAGAAGTAAAATTAATCTCTTATTCCGTTTAAACTCTATAATACTGCGCAAATCTGCATTTTTATATGTTAAATAGATCAGTAGTTCAAGTTAATTTTTATTGATATAAAAACATAATGGTATGAATGTAGTTACATAAATATTAATAAGAGTAATGAAAAATTGATTGTAATATCGATAATTATAGATAATAATAAAAATATCGCATTGCTCCTTTTTCATATGCTTAAAATTATATATTTTAATATCGCAAATAATTTTGTAACGATTTTATAATTTTTATAGGTTTTCTGGATGCTGGATTATACCAAAACAGTACAGCGCAATGGTGAGTTTTATTTTTCTCATCTTATTGTTCATTTACTGTCTATGATAATTTTGGATTAAGGATCCGTACTACATCTGTGTCATACTAAAATTGCGCGATCATTATTTCTTTATTTTGATATAAATTGTTCATTGTTATTATTTTCCTTCCTTGTCCAATTTAAATAGAATTTAAAATATCCATATTTGTATGTATAATTACCGATTTTGAAATATGGTTGAAAAACTATGATATGAAAAAAGCACGATAAAATTTTCCTCCGCCGATACGTTTCGGCGAATATTTTGCGAAGAGACTTTTCTTGTACATATCACGGAACGTATTTTTCTTTTCTCAAAAACTTTTCCATGTACTCTTGTACTCTTTGTATATCACATTTCTTACATCCTCTGTAAAAGTCAATTCTCTTAGGACCGCATCTTACCACTAGAACCGCATCAGCAGATTTTTATCGATGCTTTTTTTTTTTCATTTTTTCCCCCCTACATTATTGCATCGCGTGCGCATCATTGAGCGATTATCGCTACCTTTGGCAATGAATTTTACATCGGCTTTTTACGTATGCCATATTTATTAAACTCTCCGCTGCGAGAGAGTCGGCTCTCGATTAGCGGTTCCGTGAGTGCGATGCATTTTCTCGACAGCGTGCACCTCGGTGCATATGCATACGTTCATTTCGCGTGCCGCGCTTGGGGCCCGCATTAGCAAGTTGCTCGGTGTCTGGACACGTCCTGAACGAGTCCTGGCGCCCGTCCAGAGCCGCCAGGCGGCCCGCTCGCTTTCTTCTCCGCGGCCACAGATACATCAGCGTGCGCTCAGGTGCACGAAGTATGGCGCGCGTGTCGTTAATGCGGCGAAATGAGCCATGCCGAAGGCTCCGACTGCGTATAATCTCCGCCGGCGTACATAATCGCGGAAAATGCGCGCTGTCGTCACACACACATACACACACGCGCGCGCGCGCGCGCGCGCACATACACGCGCACGTGCGCGTACGAATGCCGCGGAAGAAGTCGGATGAGAATGAGATTCCGTGTCTGCGGGAAGCCTCTGTTTGGCCATGGAAATCGGTAAAGGAGGTCAGCGTATGCAAATAACAGGGTCGTGAGGGGCTGTCGTGGAGCCAGCCGGGAGGGTCCCGTGGGTCAACGGACAAGCAGCGAGGCGGCGGCGGCGGCGGCGGCAACGACGCCGGTGGCGCAGGATATATCCGTTCCGTTCCAGTCTTTCTCTCTTGTTCTTTTTTGCTCTCTCTTTCTCTCTCTCTCTCGGACGATTTTCTCGTCTCTCTGACACTTCCATAACTCTCGCTCCCTCTCTTTCCTTCCCTCGTTCCAGCTTTTGCCAGCTTCGCGTTCCCCGCAACGCTCTCGTTTCCCTCTCGTTTCCGAACTCCCATCCTCCCATCGTCGTTGTCGTCGTCGCCGTTTTCCATCCTCCTCCGGCCGCTACTTCAGTTCCCCCGTTCAGTTTCTCGAGCTTCTCGCGGCAACGGCGACCGTTACGGCCCCATATATTTCCGCAGCCGGCAGTGCCGGCGGTTCGAGTCACGTCTACGGATGTAAGGGTGCCTCCGCACCGCGCCTCCCTTTCTCTTTCTCCGTCTTTCTCTCACGCCTACGTCTCGCGGAAGCATTCGATTTTTACGATACAAAACGAACGAGCTCTCGCGGGTTCGCCGATAGGCGAATTACGTTTTCGCCGTCGTTTCTCGCAACTAGATGCCATTTTTGGCATGCAGTTTTGCGTTTCTATCTCATCGCTGCAACTTTTCTTCCGGTGTTTCTTTTCCTCTTTCATGCTATCTTCTTTTTGATCTCTCCGCTTGAGGAAGTAATTAAGTCGCTAGAAAAACGTTCGTTTCAGGGAACATTTTTATGCCGTAGATAGTTTAGAAGGATTCCTTTCGAATAAACGAGATCTGACGTTCACTTGTTTATGCCAATGAAACATTATAAATTAAATTGTATCTTAATTAGAGAATTTTCCATCTTATTAATGTGACTGTTCACGCTTGTATCGGTCACGATATCAATTCATTTGAATAAGAAAATTATATTAAATATTTCAACTAATCGGAGTTCAATATAACATTTTCGATATAAATGCAATTGTGATTTTCTGATTTAGCTCAACTATTAAATTTATACAGATGAAGATTTTAAAGAAGTAGTATACAAATATATCTTTCATTATTAAAAAACTTTGGGTAATCTAATGGGTAATCAGGAATTGCACTTACATAAAAAATGTTCTTATTTACCTTCGGTATTCGCCGGTTGGAGGGTCGCGAAAACAGCTTCGAACCGGCACGTCGGGGTGACTAATCCACTGAGTGTTAATTAAAATAAAGGCACAGCCGCCGCTATGCGGGTAAGTAGAAATTAGCGTTGGGGGTCCGGCGCGGAGTCAATGGTAGGATGGGGGGGAAACGCGGGTCGGTAGAGAGGATGGTGCGGATAGGCCAGATGTCCACCCTTTCGTTGGCGTTCGCGTGACACATCGCTGTCGAGTTTTTGAGCCATGCCGGCTCGCGCGTTTCGGTTAATGCGACTAGCTATGGACGCATGCTTAATTGCTTTAATTAAAATTCACGTTACGCGCCGCGACATCGCTGGTGGCGTGGCAGACGCCGACGTGCAAGTTTTCTCGCCGCTTGACGTACTTCTATACACGCAAATGGTGGAATCTTCTTTGAGGAAGATGGGCTTTCAAAAAGTCACGTATATTTAAAAACGTTTCCATAAGTTACAGTTTTTTTCTGTACTGAATAAAGACAGTTAATGTATTATAATTTTATAATCTTCAAACGCGGAGCGTTAGATCA